GATTTTATCGAATGTAATTGAATTTCTGCGAAGAATTTTACTCATTTTGAAAAATGTGACGCGATCTGAAGAAAGGGACCTTAGAAGCAAAAAATTATAGGTTATGTTTGCAATTTTTTAAATGAAAATACAAAAAAAGGATCAACTGTCAATATAAATCATTGAAGTTTAAGTCTTCATTAAAACTAAAATATTTAATAAACACTGATTTTAATTCGAAATAAGTAAAAAGAAACTTTCAAACAAGAAAAAAATAACTCTAACCCAACCTTAAAATGATTTGCTTCTAAGGTCCCTTTCTTCAGATCGCGTCACAAATATTTGAATACTTTATATTATTTGCAGAAACTTCATTAAAAAAATGAAAATAATTGAATTCCTGCAAAAATTGTTATTAAAAGTTGATTATTTTTTAATATTTTCGAAAAATTCTTTTAATTATTCAAATATTTAAGTTAAATATTTCTTAACTATAATTTTTCGAACTTTTTTACTGATTAATTAAAATTAATCAAGAAATTCGTGAGTTTCTTTCACTAATTCATTTGACAATCAACTTTATATTAATTTGTTAAAAAAAAATTGTAGAATTATTAAAATTACTGACTAATTAAAATAACTTTTAATTCGCGAGAAAATTAATTAAATTTTACTGCGAATAAAATTATTCAAAAATTTTTTTGCTATTTCGTTCGTTTGACTTCTTTTTTATTTTATGTAATTATATAAAATAAAAATAAAGTTGTATAAAATTCAAAACTTGTGGATCGACTATAAATTATTATTAATAAATTGTTTAAAGTTTGAACAAATAAATAACACAACAAAATATTATAGTAAAACATATTATTTTTCAAGAATTTTTCCAAAAGAATCAAATTGATACCAAAGTTGTCGAAATTGATAAAAATTAATTTTTCAAAGCATCCAATTATTTTTAAATTTCATAAACAAACCAAAACGTTAAAGTTTATAAATGTATTGTAAATCTTAGTAAAATAAAAAATAACAAATTTAGGTAAAAAGAAATGTTTTCACGTCGAAACGAAACAAATGCTTTTAAACTGAAAATTTCAAAGTGAATTTCCAAATTTAATTTAAAATGAATCAAAAAATTTATTGCAATTGACTGTTGGATTATTTTTTGTACACTTGCAACATTTTCTAAAACGATAAACTCATTACACAAGTTTCTCAAGTTGTTCTCAAGTACTTCCCTATTATCCTCTGATTTTTTTTTTTTTTTTTTTTTTTTTTTTTTTTTTTTTTTTTTTTTTTGACATCAGAGGAATAAAAAGAAGAGAAGAGGACGAACGTGAAATCGTGTTTGATTGACACAAAGCTCGTTGGAAGGGGGGCCATTGTTTGTTCCTCGATAAGGTTACTGAGTAGAGCTGCCGAGCGATAAGAGTCGTGTGTCGGACCATGGTCGTCCGTTTCGGATTTTTCAATCATGGCGCTCGTATATGTATATGCATCACAATATTGAAGCCATTTTGAATGTTTTAAAATCTAAAAATCTATATTTTCATTAAAAAAAAAAAAAAAAAAAATTTCCCCCCCAAAAAATGAAAAAAAAACTAAAGTTATTTTTTTTCCTTATGAGTCATCATCAAAACACACTTCTACAAAAGTTCAATGGTCAAAGTTTTTGTTGACCATTATATTTTTCTCGTCACGTCAAATTATAACCAAACACCCTATTATGCGTATTTATGATCGTAAACAACTCTCGAGGAAAATTTTTCAGACTGATTCATGCACGCGCGGTGAGTGGCAGTGTATTATGCGTCATTCTCCCGATGCACCCCATAAGAAAAGGAAAACTTTTATTTTGCCAAAAAGCTAAAAGAGAGCTGAAAGTCGAAAAGGCGGAGAAATAATCCCTCCTTATTCAGCGACTATTTTCCTGTTCGCACGTGTTGTGTTTCTTTCTTCCTCTTTTGGGAGAAATGATGGTTGTAAAAAGGAAAGAGATTTTAGTCGATGATAAAAATCTGTATTATTCTTTTTCGTACTTTTTTTTTAATCCTGCGATGCGTGAGGAATTTGTACACTCATCTCATTATACTCCAATAATCATTAGAGTAGGACAAATATTTTCAAGGTTTAGGAACCAAAGAATAAAAAATGATGGGCATTGGAAGTCATGGTGAAAGAATTTTTAGAATGAAATCATTTTTGACAAACAATAATAACATTTGCTACAGTTTTTCTAAGGATATCAAATTGAGGCAAAAAACGAATAAAAAATTCAAATGAACGAAATATCAAAAAATTCAATTACTGCTTGTCAAAAAAAGTTAAAAACTTAAATTTACCATTTAAAAACTTTATAATTTATTTTTTTACACTTGGTACAAAATTACTGTTGTAAATTTTAATTGAAGGAAGAAATAAATAGTTTAAATTGAAAGTTCTGAGGAAATATTTATAACATTTCCAAAGTAGTACAAGCAGAGATCTCACCTTTTCTTAGTAGTAATTAATTTCAATTTTATGCATAAAATAAAATTAAATTTACAAAATTCAATTTACAACTATTATTATAAAAATTGTTAAAATAAATAATTTTGCAATTTAACAAGTAAAGCTAAAAAATAGTCTATTATTTTCATTGATTTTGATTTAAAAATCCAAAAATTGTTTAACTTAAATATTTGAATAATTAAAAGAATTTTTAGAAAATATTAAAAAATAATCAACTTTCCAATAAAAATTTTTGCAGGAATTAAATTATTTTCAATTTTTAATAAAGTTTCTCCAAATAATATAAAGAATTCAATTATTTTTCAAAAAGAATCAAAATTCTTCGCAGAAATCCAATTACATTCGATAAAATCTGTCACAAGAATTCAATTATTTTTATTTTTTAATAAAGTTTCTCCAAATAATATAAAGAATTCAATTATTTTTCAAAAAGAATCAAAATTCTTCGCACAAATCCAATTACATTCGATAAAATTTGTCACAAGAATTCAATTATTTTCATTTTTTAATAAAATTTCTCCAACGAATTTAATTATTTTACAAATTTTTAATTCTTCATAAGATTCAATTATTATTTTCAAAAAGGAATAAAATTCTTCTCAAGACTTACATTATTTTCAATAAAGTTTCTTCAAAAAATTCAGTTATTTTCCAAAACTTTTGATAAAATTAATCGCAAAATTTAATTTGTTTTCAAAAATAATACAATTTAATTATTTTCATTTTCCAATAAAGTTTCTTTAAAGAATTAAATTATTTTCCAAATTTTTAATAAAATTCTTTGACGGATTCAATTATTTTCATAAATAATAAAATTTCTAGCAGGAATTGAATTATTTTCTTTTTTTAATAAAATTTCTCTAAAGAATTCAATTATTTTTAAAATTTTTAATAAAATTCTTCACAAGATTCAATTATTTTCCAAATTTTAAATAAAATTCCTCGACGGATTCAATTATTTTCATAAATAATAAAATTTCTCTAAAGAATTCAATTATTTTCAAAATGAATGAAATTCTTCGCTGGAATTCAATTACTTTCAATGAAATCTGTCGAAAGAAAAGAATTCAATTATTTTCCAAATTTTTAATAAAATTTTTCGCCGGATTCAATTATTTTTTAAAATAATAAAATTTCTTGCATGAATTTAATTATTTTCAATAAAGTTTTTCTAAAAATTCAATTTTTTTTCGTAAATTTTTTATTAAATTATCCACAAAATTCAATTATTTTCAAAAATAATTAATTTTTTCGCAGAAATTCAATTACTTTCGATTAAATCTGTAATAAGAATTCAATTATTTTTTAAATTTTTCATAAAATTCGTCGCAGGATTTTTATTATTTTCTTTTTTTTAATAAAATTTCTCTAAAGAATTCAATTATTTTTTAAATAAATTTTTAATAAAATTCTCCACAAGATTCAATTAATTTCAAAAATAATAAAATTCTTCTCGCAGGAATTCAATTACTTTTAATAAAATTCATCTGAAGAATTAATTATTTTTTCATTTTTCAATAAAGTTTCTTTAAAGAATTATATCATTTGATATTCTTTGTCAAACTGTGTGTAGAAATTAATAATAATTTCAATGTTTAAGATCCAAAAAAATGATGGGCAATGAAACTCATTCTAGAAGAATTTTGATAATGCAATAACTTTTTAAAAACAATATTAGCATCTGTGGAAATTAACGATTTCAAATTTTAGGATCTAAAAAATGATGGGCAATGTAAGTTATTGTAGAGGAACTTTTAAAATGCAACCATTTTTGATAAACAATATTAGCATCTGTAGAAATTAATATTTTAAATGTTTGGGAACCAAAAAAAAAAAAAAATGATGGGCAAAGTCATTGAAGAAGAATGTTTAGAATGCATTCATTAACGATTTTTGAATTTTTAGAATGCAATCTTTTTTGACAAACATCTGTGGGGATTTTTTTGTGACTAAAAACAAACATTTGTACAAAAATCAATTTATAGATAATACAATTTTTGAATGTACCTATAAAATATACTAAACAGAAACTAAAATCTTAACTGTTTGGAATTTCTTTGAACTTTTGCTTTGTAACTTTTAAAATTATTTTCAGAGTTAGTTTTGTAGTTCAAAAGTATACCTTTCTAGTTGTACTTTTTGCTAATTTTTACTAAAATTTTGTTATTCGGAAAGTTTAAAAAGTTTACCAGAAAACAAAAAAAAAAATGTTTGTTTGGAAATAGTTAAATGTACATTGAAAACTAAAATCGCATCGACTTAGATACTTAAACAATATATTATTTTGATACCCCCTTAAGGACATATTTTAATCATCTTTTAATTTTCTTTATTAATATTTTAAATTTTCTTTATTTATTTATAATTTTTTAAGGATACTTTTAAATTTAAGCCTATGTTTCATATTTAATGACATATTTTAACTGGTTTGGTTTTGGTTACTAAACCAGTTAAATTAAAAATTAAGGAATGTCCTTAAATTAAAAGGGTGGTTTACAACACTGAGGGCCAATGAGAGTAAAGGGGCCGGACAATCAGTGGGCTATTTGACGGTTTCGACAACAGCCACTGGTTTCTCTCTTCGATTCAGGTGTTCATATTCTCGCACTGATGTGGAGGAGGAAGCTTTAAAAGTAAAGACTCACGTTTTCCACCTCCACTGGGTTTGGGACCTCAGCTTCGGTCTTCAGTTACAATCCGAACCTTGCGCCAACAAGTATTCATCTGGCAATATTCTTTTTTCTCTGTTTTTTTCGCTCTCCTTTAAAAAAGAGATATTGTCTCATGACACTTTGTGCACAGCTCTCAATGATAGTGAAATTGATAGTATCGAATATTTTAGATAACGTGAGACTCTCGATTAATAGTTAGAAAAAAAGTGTCACCGCGAACACGTGTGTTTCTTTTCAAAATTTTTTTTTTTTAGTAATTCTTTTTAATTTTTGTGAATTACTTCGTTAAAAGTTTCCATCATTGGACAAATGCGACACGCAGCATCTGAAATCAAGGTAGTTGATATTGTTCTTTTGTTAAAGAAATTTTAATTGTTAATTAATTTAATTTTTTTAAATCATTCGAAATTTTTAATTTGATTCAAAGTACAAAAATTGTATTTGTAATCAAGTGGAAAGTAAAATTTGGAATACCAATAGGAAATTATGTTTTTAATTCAAAGTATATTCATAGCAGCAGTGATGTTTTAATTTTTTGCAAATCGGTTAATTTTGGTTTTTAGTATTCTTGATTTTTGGATGGTACCTTTTTGGTACTGCTATAATTAGTGTTATTTTTGTATTGTTGCTACTGTAATATTGTTGCATAACTATAAATTCACCATAAGTATGATTTACAACCATTCAAAATGTTGTAATCCTTTAGGAACATCATTAATGCAGATGCTTCTGTTTCATCCTAGATCTTTTGTTTCAAGTTATACAATCCTTGTTTAGTTCTGCAATTTTTATTTCTCATTTGGTATCATAAACCATATTTTTTACTACAAGTCTTGCCAATGATTATTATATTAGTATTAAAAAATAATTGTGCTAATAATATTCAGATGTTTGGAAGTAACAAAAAAAACCTATCTATTTGGTACCAAACTTCAGATTCATACCACAACATTTATTGCAACATCTTATACAACAATATTCTCCACTAATTTTTAATATTTTACTAAAAAATCTAATTTCACACCTTATAGCAATAATACGCAATGAAAAATTAACGAATATTCAAAGTTGTACTTTGTAAAAATTTCTTGAACCTAAATTTTATTTTTAAAGGGAAATGTCACGTATATCGGGAGATCAATTTCTTTTGTTTTCTCAAGAAAAAGAGTGATGAGTCAAAAGAAATTTAGTTGAAAACGCGCGTGCTAGTCGACGTCACTGCACCGGCGGAAGTCGAAACTTGACATTGCAGGACGGAAGTGACGCGTTTAGAGCAAACAGGTCTCACATTTTTCTTGAGACGGACGAGGTGTGCCTTTCGGTCCTCAACTCGAAACCGTTTTCGCGTAGGTGTTTTTCAGTCGCGTGCCTTTAGATCAAAAGATAACATCTCCAAAAACGAAATCTCCAAATGCGAATAAATAATTTTTTCCAAAATTTAGCACCTTTACTAAAACTTAATAGTTTTTCGAAAATAATCAGAGTAAATCTAATCAGAGTTGTGATTCTAATTTAGTAATTTCTAATTAGACTAGTATATTTACTATTTTATTTACAGTATTTTTTTACACTAATCAAATCTACATCAAGAATTCTGCAACCAAACAAAATACCAATTGACAAAAGTAAAATAACAAATCTCGAAGGAAAACCCCGCAATGAACTTGGTCATTGTTCAAATATTACCATACATCATCCTCTTTAACGTCACGCAATAATTTCACACATTCGTCACATAAATATTGGGAAAAAAAATTTCTTTCAGGAAACAATGAAGGAGACACTCGCTAAACAGGATATAAAACTGGAGTGGGAGGATCGTCGTTTATCCGGAAATAGTTCTTCGCCGCCAATAACGAGAATGAACGAAGATCAAACAACCGGAAGTCCACAGAGTGTCATCACAACTCGACGTTATACACGAACAATAACAGCGACAGGTCACATCACTGAGACACTGGCCCCAAATCATGGACCCGATTCACCGGAATCAAATTCCAACAATAATGTTGTACAACAAGTACAACATCAACAAATTCACGTCAAAGATGAAAATTCAGATCGTCAACGATACCATCATCAAGAGGAAATACAACAACATCGTCCCGAACATGTTCCGATTTCGCCCCATGGAAGTCCCAATCATCAACAACAAGTCGCAGATCAACATCAGCAACCTCCTGTTATCTTTACAATCAGTAATGGTCCCGAGTTACAAGTCGAACCTGCCGAGAACACCGAGACACGAAAAGAACCACCCAGGTGAGTTTTTTTTTATACCTGAAAAAGTATCTTAAAGAATAAAAAAAAATTTTCTTCCCGAAGAAAAAAATAAATATGAATTCTTGTTGGGGCTACAATATTTATATAATCAAATTAAATTTATCAACAAATCCATAAAATCGACACTCTTCTATTTTCTTGAAAATAGACTCTAATTTCTAAAGTCAACAAACCTTTCCTGTATTCAAAAGATTCCCGTCCCTTTCTCTACATACAGGTAGAGAAAAAGGAAATATTAATTTCCTTCCCTCTCCTTTCTTTTTTTTTTTGTTAATTTTAGCTATAAATTAACCCTGGTCAAGAAAAGAGACTCCAATTAATTTTTATGTCCCCTTCTTTGATTCCGTAGTCAAGTAATTTAAACTTATTCTTTTTACAGATACGAAACGACAATTCCGGAGAGAAATGAAAGTGAACGGATATATTTATTCCCGAAAGAATCGGAAGTGCGACGTGAAAGTGGTCATGTGATTGCCCTACAAGTACAGGAGCATCGCAATAGACATCATCATCAACAGCACGCACATCATCGAATCAGTCCTGCGCATCATAATAGCGAGAGTGGACGTTATCAAAATTCACCCATCAATCCACCAAATGATGATTATGAATCGTCAGTAATGGTGACACAATCGGGACCTGGGGGACATTTAACAGCATCCGTTACGTACTCACCGCCAATTGAACTACGAACTAGTCAGCATCAGCAATTAATTGGTACCTATAGCGAAACTGGTGCTAATGGTACCGTTAAGTACAATGGCGAAACGACTGTTCCAGCTGATAGTATCAAAGTTTCGAGTACTTATACAACACTAGAAACTGCCGCCATTCCAGCATCGCAATCCGTTGCCTACAATCAGTACCTCGTCACTGCCGATGCGTTTCAACAACCTTCGAGTTATGGGTACACGAAACCTGCTGAGTTGTACTTTTTGCCCACCGCTAATCCGCCTGGTGTTCGAGTTTCTGAGGTGAGAATCTTTCTTTAATTCTTACGGAATTAAATATTGAAAATTCGAATTAGGTCCTGCAGTTCCAAAACCTAAAGTTCTAGTTGTGTTTCTACTTCTTCTAAAGACCAAAAACCCTGAAGTTCCAAAACCTAAAGTTCTAGTTGTGTTTCTACTTCTTCTAAAGACCAAAAACCCTGAAGTTCCAAAACCTAAAGTTCTAGTTGTGTTTCTACTTCTTCTAAAGATCGAAAACCCTAAAGTTCCAAAAGCCTAAAGTTCTGGTAGTGTTACAGCTTCTTCTAAAGTCCTAAAATCATCTGCAACTAACAAAATGCGTGCGGAATTACAAGACCTTTGGTCTGCTGCGGAATTTCGTGTTGGACCACAAGTCCAACACGAAATTCCGCAGCAGACCAAAAGGTCTTTCTGTATACAGGAATGCTGAAAGCTTAGCCAAACAATTCCAGTTCCCAATAGTTCCAAACAATTCACCCAATTTCTAATCAAAAACCCCCGAATCTTTTCAAAAAACAGGTGGAGCCTCCAGCCTACATAAAAAGTGACCCGACACTAACCTCATCCTCACTACTGGGCACAAGAACAGTTTCCCTTCAGTACCAACAACCGGGTTCTCCAAATTCCCAAATGGACCTCTACAGTACAGGCGCTACTGTCACGTATCAATATCCAAAATCAGTGAACGAACACTATTGGACGTCGGATGGACATTCGTCACCGCCTGGTATGGAATGTGGACAGGGTTATCCCGGTGTGACAATATCGCCAAGTGATGCTGCATCAGTGACGACAGGAGCTTATTCCGGTGGTTCGTACATTACATCGGGACTCAATGGTCCCACATCACCATGGGGTCTACCACTTCCAAGTCCAATTGATCCATCATTCGACGAATCGAACATGGGCACTGAACTCAAGGAGTGCGTCAATTGTGGCGTCATGGGTACACCATTGTGGCGACGAGATGGCACCGGAAATTATCTCTGCAATGCCTGTGGACTCTACAATAAAACTAATGGTGTCAATAGGCCGCCAATTCGATGCGCAAAACCCAAACAGAACGTCGCACCGGTGAGTTTTTTTTTATTGTTTTCATTTCTTAATTTTGACTTTATTGGTGGTGGGTTCGACTGCATATGATCGAAACTGCAAACGGGAAAGTCGCTTTAATAGCATTACAAAATTATTCTTATGTTTTAAAAACACAGCACCCCTAAAAATTTGGGGGTTTGTCCGATTTTATGCTGACAATCGGTATGAAAAGAAATTTTGAGTTTTTGGGAGTAAAAATTCGGGTAGAGGGATTCAAAAATTAGGATAGCAGAGGTTGTACTGTAGGTAACAAAAATTTACGTAGAGGAAACTTTTCTAAAGCAGAGGTTATACTGTAGGTAACAAAAATTTAAGTAGAGGAAACTTTTCTAAAGCAGAGGTTATACTGTAAGTAACAAAAATTTACGTAGAGAAAACTTCTTGATTGTCTAGTTTCAACTTTTCAAGTCTAATTTCAATTAAACCGAAAAGTATAGCTTACTTGATAAATCAGTAAACAGAAAATAACGTTAAACTTGAAAAATTGAAACCGGCTAAAAATAATTACAATAAGTCTCTATTATAAAATTGATTAATATTTGATAAAAATAATATCAATATTTTGGTTCAATGAACTTAAATTAAAAACAATTGTAATAACATAGATGAAAAAAGAAATAGAAAGAGAAACGACGAAAAGTCAACTAGAAAGATAATAGAAATTGATAAAATTGAAAAAGATAGCAATGTTTTTCTTCATGCAAATAAAGAAAATTTTGATAAAAAAAAATTTAATATTGAAAGTTCAAGTAAACACTAAAAGAATTTAATAAAAATGAGAATGTCAAAATTAAATTTCTAACTGATAATGATTGATAACATTTTTAAAAATATTTTTGTTTTAATCTTTTTCGTATTTTTTCCCCCTTCTTTTTTTTCGAGTTAGTTGAAATCAGTTGAAATTTTAGTTGAAATTTTAGTTAAAATTTTATATTTGAAAAATTAATAATTTATGAATTTTCTCTTTTCTTTTCGACAGAATTTTCCAATATGAAAAAAGAGAAATTCTCTCTATCTATATAACATAAAGTAGTTCAGAATTTTCAATTTGTTGATTTAAGAAATAATTACAACTGATATCCTACTGTCTGTAACGATACGTATTTGTCAATACTATCTATTTGTAAATCTCCTCGCGGTTGACTTTTACACTGATATCAATCTCAAAAATATTTGATTAAAAAAAAATACGTTATTGGCAATTTTTAATAACAGAAAAAAATATTAAATAATTTTATTTAACTAATATTAGAAATAATACCGTTTATAGCAAATATTAAAACAAATTTTAAAAATATTAAAACCAAATTAGTCTTCTTAAAAAAAAATTGTTTAAAAAACTAAAAATTAGTAAAAATTCACTGTAAGGAGAGGGGGGAAAAATAAAAGAAGGTCACAATTGATTATGTTAATAAGGTCCATTAAAGAAATGAGAAAATGATTTTAATTTGTAGAAAATATATATGCGAGTGCTGTAAGGAAGAGTTAAGATTACGATATCTTTATATTGCATCAGGATTACGTGCGTTTATCTTTACTTTTGCGTCTAATTAATCAAGATTACTTACATTTTAAATAGTATTTTTTGTTTTTTATTAAATTTATTTATATATATTATAAAATTTTTATATAAATAACTTTCGTTGAAAATTTTACGCACCTAAATAAAAAGTATGCTTTCTTCTTTTTTTTTTTTTTTTTGACAAATTATTTTCAAAAAAATTATGAAACGAGATACACTTTTGAAAAATAGATTATTATCTATAATAAGTTGTTAATTTTTCTCGATAATGAATCATGAATCTATTTTTAATACGCTGAACATAAATCTAAAGTCCAATGTAAGATTTTTTTTCCCTAACTGAAGAAAAATTTCAAATTGAAAAAAAAATTTTATGTATATTTTTTTATAATTTGTAAGCATTTTTGGTGTATCCCAAAAAACTTTTTTTTTAATATTTAAGCTGAGTTTAAAATATTTTGAAATTCAGAAAAAAATTTCATTTTTATTATAGTTAACTTTTTTAGTAATTTGGAAGTATTTTTGAAAGTATGTATTTTTTTCAAGAATATAATTTTTTTTAAATTTAAAATCAGTTTTAAAATATTTTTTTTGAAAATTGCAATTTTACGCGCAGGTATATTAATGTCAAATGCGTGTAAAATGATGGCTGGTAAATATAATAGAGAAACGTTTCCAGAAAATACACAAAAGGATTAAAGTCTCAAAATTTCATTGCAGTTTTATTGTCTCAAACTTGAGAAAAAGAGAATTAACAAAAATGTACTTGATTACTCAGGCATTAATATATGTATTTATGAAAACTTGAAATAACTTTTTATTTAAGTAAACAAAATTTTTATTTCACGAAAAAAAAGAAGAGAAAAAAAAGAATGAAATAAAATCATTAAACTATTCAGAGGTCATTCGAAAAATTTTTAAATTATTTCTTTCTTTTCAGAAAATGTATCATTTCTAATATTTCGTTTAAAAAATTTTCTCCTTTAATTGTAAATTTATATTTTAATAGAAATAATTTTGCTATCAAATAATTTAATCAATTTACTTAAATTTTTTTTAAATTGCATAATTTAATTAATTTCCACACTTTTATAAAAAAAAATTCTAAAATTTAATTAATTTCGAAATTGCTAATTAAATTACATCATTAAAGTCATTTTAAAACTTTTTAGCATTAAATTACATAATTTAATGAGTTTCAAATTTTTTGCTAATTAAATTGCAAAATTTAATTAGTTTACAAAATTTTTGCTAATTAAATTACACAATTTATAAGCAATTTTGAAAATTTTCCCCTTTAAATTACATAATTTAATTAGTTTCGAAATTTTAGCTAATTAAGGGCATTTGAACCTTGATGACGTCACACATGCTTTGCATAATCTGTAACGTCATCAAGGTTCAAATGCCCTTAAATGACAGATTTTAATTAATTTTGAAATTTTTGCTAATTAAATTTCATAATATAATTAGTTTCGCCAGTTTTGCTAATTAAATTGCATAATTTAATTAATTTACAAAATTTTTGCTAATTAAATAAACATAATTTAATTCGTTTTGAAATTTTAACAAATTAATTTACATAATTTAATTAGTTTCGAATTTTTTGGTACTTAAATTAGAGATTTTAATAAAATGTAATATTTTTGCTAATTAAATTTTATAATATAATTAGTTTCGAAATTTTTGCTAATTAAATATTACATAATTTAATGAGTTTTTAAACTTTCACTAATTCAAAATTTTAATAGTTTGGGAATTTTTGCTAATTTATTGTTCGGTTTTGTTGAAGTTTAGTTAATTTAATTGTTTAATTTAATTTAATTAATTATTAAAACTTGAAATAACTATTTATTATAATAATAATTAACTAAACAATTTACTTTTATGTTAACTTTCTGACTTGAAGGACTGATAATTTATCTAACATCATAAATTGACTGAAGTAATTAAATTATATTGAACTGCTAAATCAAATAATTACATAAAATAATATATTTGTTATATTTATAAATATAATTATATAATTTCTTAAAATAATATAGAAATATTTATAAATACAAAAGAAATAAATATATTTTTTTATAACAATTTTCGCGTGTAATTTAATCTTTCCGTTTGTTTAAATTTTACTTGCAATAATTAAGTATTTTATTTAAATTCATTTATTATTAATTCTATTGTTAATTCTCTTATTAATTTATTATTAAATAAAATAAATGAAATACTTGAATTAAGGAAAAATTTATTCAAACCGACTAATTTGAAATAAACACGAAATTTCTTAATGAAGAAAAATGAAGTATTTTATAAAATAATGAATTATAATTCATTAATTATTTTATTAATACTTTTAATAATTAATTTATTGATTAAATAAAATACTTGAATTAATTTTTAAAAAATTAGAAAGGAAAAATGAAATTAAACACAAAAAGTTCCTATGAAGAAATATAGATATCAGTTTTGTAATTTTTTTTTTATAGTAACAGTTAATTGAAGTTTGATGTAAAATATGATGGAGTGTGTCAAAAAAGAGAGAAAAAAAAGAAAAAATAGAGGAAGGACACGAAATGGCCAAACGTGTGACGAGTCCGAAAATGTGTGACCATCGAAACAATTGAAAAACGAGGCCGTTGTTATTTGTGCTGATAAGACAATAGGCGGTTTGGGATGGATGGCTCGCGCACCAACGCGAGACATGACTTCGATATTAAGTAATGTTTGTGCTCTCGAGAGATGAGAGTTTCTTATCTTCACAACCAAGCAAATAATAACTCGGTGACATGGCGGGTGTTGTTTGCTCTAGTTTTCTTACCAGAGCACTCCCAGTTTCATATATATAAATATATATATATATTTATATGGTCGTCGATCTTCAAATATTCGTCGAGACGAAAGTTGACTCGACCTGCTTCCTGTGACGAACCCGTACAACTATATAGGGTCAAAATTCTCTCTGGTGTTATCAAAAACACATTTCATTTTTTGTTACTTTTTCCAAGAGAATTTTTTTTTTTTTTTTTTTTTGAAGAGAAGAAAGTATTGGATTTGTTTTTCGAAAAGTTGTTATAGGCAAAAGTTACAAATTTTTATACAGAAGGAAAAAAATCGTCCTGTAAATTGTCTAATTAAGAATTAAATGAATTCTCATAAGAAAGTGTTTTGTTCTTAAATAATATTCTAGTTAATTAAACGCACTTGGAAAAAATATAGTTTTTTTTAATTGTTTAATAATTATTTATTTACTACTTATTCAATTTTTTCTTTATTTTCTTTATTGTTACATATCATTATTAATATTAATTATTATTATTTTCTTCTTTATTTTATATAACCACATTTTATTTTTTTATGGAATTTAAATCTTTAAATTTAATTAACAATGATAAAAACTAAAATGTCGATTAATGAGTAATAATCTATTATTATATTTTTTATTTTCTATTGTTTTTTTTTTTTATTAAATAACTTTTGTTAAGTGCATTCTATTATAAAGGATTTTTAAACCTTTCAAAATTTGAATAAATAAATAAAAAATTAAATGTTCTTTAATTCACTAAAAGGTTTTTAATTACTTTTTTTCAATTACAATAATTTTAATAACTATTTTTTTCGTTAACCTTTTTTGGCAAACATTGATGTGCTTAGTTTTTATTTTATTTTAGAATCTAATTCTTAAAAAAAAAAATTAAATAGTTGTTATTGTTGTAATTGTTATTATTGTCATAATAACAATTTAATTTATTTCTAATATTAACTATAATTTAACTTTCTAAATTTGATAATTAATATTAAAAAAATTGAAATTATAATTATTATTGTTATAATAGCAATCTAATTTATTTTAAAAATTTGAAATTTTAATTATTTTTTTAATTGTTCTTATTGCTATATTAACAATCAAATTTATTCAAGAAAATTATAATTGTTATTATTGTTATAATAATTTAATTTATTGAATAAAATTGAAATTGTTATTATTGTTTTAATAAGAATCAAATTTATTGAATAACATTGAAATTGTTTCTGTTTTTGTAATGGTTATTATTGTTATAATAGTAATTTAATTTATTGAAGAAAATTGAAACTGTTATTCTTGTTATAATAAAAATTTAATTTATTGAAAAAAATTGAAACTTATTATTGTTATAATAACAATCTAATTTATTGAATAAAATAAAAAAATTTTCTATTTTTGTAATTGTTATTATTGTTAAAATAATAATTTATTAAAGAAAATTGAAATTGTTTCTGTTTTTTAATTGTTATTATTGTTATAATAACAATTGAATTTACTGAAGAAAATTGAAATTATTATCATTGTTCTAACAATAATCTAATTTATTGGAAAGAATTGAAATCGTTATTATTATTATTATTATTGTTTTTATTGTTATTTTGTCATTATTTATTATTATTTGTTATTAATTGTAAACAATAAGTAAATGTACTTCTTTTTTTATTTTTCATTTCAGTATAGTAATTTAATAAAAAAATTGCGAATAGAAAAAAATTTGTTCAGAAAAATATTTGTTGCAATTTTTTCTATATATGTGTTAAGAGAAATTTTTCATTCTTTTTGAAATATTGAAAATTTTATTTTATTTTTTGCAGGGTGGTGGAAGAAGGCCGGGCGTGAGGTGTGCAAATTGTGGAACAAACAATACAACACTTTGGCGACGAAATAATAATGGAGAACCAGTTTGCAATGCCTGTGGACTTTATTACAAATTACATAATGTAAGTACTTTTAATTTTTTTTCAACTTTTCCATTCAAAACTATATAAAGCGAAATATTAAATACAATTTTTAATTTTATTTCCATTTGTTACGTTATTGTTTAATTTGGAACTAAACTTTAATTCCAAATTCTACTCCAAACGAATTATTAAAATTTTTTTTTTTTTTGCTCTAAAGGCAAAAAGTTTTCAAAACTCATATTTTTTTCGCCTTTTCCCCCCCAAAGCATTATAGAACCCCAAAAAAACGAAATCCGCATAAAATAAGCTTGAATTTTGAATTTTCAAAAACAATTTATCAGTAATATTTGCGTCACTAAAAATTGTCTCGAGAATTCTCACAATGAAACACAGAAAGGCTAAACTTGACTGTGAAACAATAAAGAGACGGCTTAAAACAAATGCAGTAAAGGCCACAAACAAGAACGTTTCTGCCCTGCGCGACAGTTATATGGTCCCAGAGTATTCTCAGAAATATTACATATATATGTATATAACATTTGTTTTTCCCTCACTACTAATTCCACACTCTTTATTTTTCTCTCCTCGCAACATAAAGAAAAAAAAGAAACTTAAATATCTCTCTGTTTGAAATTATAAACTTTCTGGAAAAATCAGAATTTTTCTTTATGGATTTTATTTGAGCGCAGGTAGTAAGAAAATAATACTATAAAAGTGCGTGTGTATTTCTTCTTTTTTTTAGGGGGGAGGGGGCAGAAAAAATATTAATAAGATAAGAATCATTACTTTTTTTCTTCTTTCGTCGAATTATTTAAAAAAAAATATTCCCCCGCTATAGGAGCGACTAAAAATTATTTTTTCTATAAAAAAAAATTATTTTTTCTATATTAATTGATTTTCTCTTTTTTTTTAATAACTTTGATCTTCAACCATTCGTTTGACGTGTTATCAGACATTTTGTCTGATAAGAGTGGCATTTATCCTTTTTTTCTTGTCAATTGATTATTTTTCGATCGCCTCCCTATGTGTGTTGATTTTATATTTATTTTTTTCGGAATCACGAACGAATATTCACTAGCAAGTCTTGCTGTATTATTTTACTATTTTCTTTTTGTATTATTTTTCTTAATTTTTTTTAAATTTTTAAATTTTATTTTTTTTATTTTTTAACTTTATTTTTATTTTATTATTTAAAAAACGGCTGCTTTTTTGTTTAACATTTAATTGTTATTATTTTTTTATTACTTACCATTTATTCTTAATTTTATTCATTTATATAAACAAAATATTTACTATTATTATAATTGTATGATAACAATTAAAATAATACGATAATAATAATAATGAAAAATTTTTTTTTTGTTAAACAGGTGAATAGACCAATGAGTATGAAGAAAGATGGCATACAGACGAGGAAAAGGAAACCAAAGAATCACGCGAATATGAATTCAGGCCTAAGTGGACCGAGTGGTGTTCAGAAGACCGAGATTAAGTCCAGCTTACTCGGTGAGTCTTCGGTGAGCACGCTTATTCATGAATTACTGTCACTTCAATCCTCAGCCTATAATTATAATTTCGAGGAAATGCCTTCATCCTATCACATTATTTAAACTGCTTTAAAAAAAAAAAAATTCACCTGCATTATATTTTATAATGTCTCAATCTGAAATAATTTCTCAAATATTACAGACTGCAAAAAAAAAACCTTTCAGATTCAGACAGTAAAAAAAAAAAAATATTCAATCTCATAGACAAAAAAATACTTCAAGCAAAAAATTGTTTTTGTTTAGTAGAAAAAAATGGAGAAATTGATAGTAATATTAATTTATGTTAATTAATTTTTATTAATTAATAAATAGTACTTGATCAACTAATAATCAATTAGTAGTGTTTAATTAATAACTACTATTAATTAAGTAGTATTAATTAAGTAGTATTAATTAATTAGTAGTGATTAATAACTAGTAATTAATTAGTAGTGATTAATAACTAGTAATTAATTAGTAGCGATTAATAACTAGTAATTAATTAGTAGCGATTAATAACTATTAATTAATTAGTAGCGATTAATAACTATTAATTAATTAGAGGCAATTAATAACTGGTAATTAATTAGCAGTGATTAATTACTAGTAATAACTATTAATTTATTAGTAGTTAGCATCGATTAATTACTAGTAATTAATTAGTAGCGATTAATAACTAGTAATTAATTAGTAGCGATTGATAACTAGTAATTAGTAACCATTAATAACTAGTAATTAATTAGTAGCGACTGATAACTAGTATAATTAATTAGTAGCAATTAATTTTAGTGGCAATTAATAACTAGTAATTAATTAGCAGCGATTAATTACTAGTAATTAATTAGTAGCAATTAATAATTAGTAATTAATTAGTAGCGATTGATAACTAGTAATTAATTAGTAGCGATTAATAACTAGTAATTAATTAGTAGCGATTGATTACTAGTAATTAATTAGTAGCGATAAATTGCTAGTAATTAAAAAATAGTATTTTATTAACAGCAATTAATTAATAGTAATTAAAAATAATTAATTGATAATAAATAATAAATTTGATAGAATAGATCATTTGAACATTATTAATTTATTACTCTCACAGTTATTTATTCTTTTTTTTTTGTTTATTAAAGAAAATTATAAATAATCAATGTTAACAATTTCTAGAAAGACTGATAGAAATTAATAAATAATATTAATAAATAATTAATAAGAGATATTAAATTTTTTTATAAATTATATACATGAAAAAAGCCTATATAGAATAAAATGAAAAGTTTATACTCTAATATCTTGTTAAAAGTGTCTATGTAAACAATGGAAAAATAATTTTTTTCTAAGTATTTAATAAAAAAGTATTTTTTTCTACATATATTTACTTTTTGCCTTATTAGATAGTATCTGTTTCTTTGAAAAGGAAAAGATTTTATCAAAAAAAAAAAAATGTTAAATCTGAGACAATAATAATTGTATAGAAATAATTTAAGAAAAAATCGCGAAATACAAAAGGTGTATACCTATACTGAGAATTGCTTTGTCACGCTTATTATTTTATACGTGTAAATGTGTGTTTCTTTTGTAATTTCATAAATGTGGGTGTGTGCAAAAATACATTTTCACTATTGTTTAAAAGGATTTCATTGTTAATTAATTTAAAAGTATAAAATTGATTCCAAAAATTATATCAAAATGCAGCACTAAAAAATACGAACAAAACGAAAAAAATAGTTTTTGGAATCAAATTCATTTTTATAATAAATTATAAATATTGTAAATTATAACTAAACATTGTCAACTTTTTCATGTTTCTGTGACTACTCATTAAGCATTTTTTTTTAATCATACGCTTTTCGAACATAAAAATAAGACACTATAGATTTAAAAAAAAATTATTTCTAAAAGAAAAAAAATTGTATAACAATTAAAAAAAAGTTCAATTTTATTTATAAGTAATTGTACTGTAGAAATTAATTTAAATAAATTATTTAATGTAAATTTGTTTCTCTGTGAAATAAGAATAAAGTGCTTAATTTGGAAAAAAATTTCTAATAATTTTAATCTATTTTAAATAATGTTCTCCCTACAATATAAATAATTTAATTGCAATATAATTTATTTCTATATAATACAAATCTTGAATAATTTTATTTATTGATAAAAAATTATTACTAAAAAGCAATAAAAAATATTACTAAAAAATAGATGAAATTTTTTTAATTTCTAAAATTTTACTAATATTTTTTTAATTTTCGTAAAATATTCCGTATGCAATTTTTTAGCATTAATAATAAAAACCAATATTAATTAATTTTATCAATTATTATTGTAATTTTGTAAATATTTTTTTCAGTAATCCCAACAATTAAAATTTAATTTAAAAATGTTTATTACAAAATTAGAAAAAAAATTGTTAAATACAAAATATCAGTATAATTATATAAATAAAAAAAGAATTTTTTTTGAATTTTGAATGAAAACAGTTTTGCAATAAAATTATGAATAAAATGAATTTTTAAAAATGGCCGTTCACATAGCAATATATGAAGAGTGAAGACTATACATAAAAAACATAATATGCTTTGTGTGTCATATTGGGTGAAGGGGTTTGGGAAGTGCATTTGTGTAAGTATATATTGGTGAAAGAGCGGATTGGTCATAAGGTGTTTTGCCACTGATAATAATGATTACTTACACTGAATGGGGGAGGTACCTAGCAGCCAATTGCGAATTATTGAATAATAACGGTCAATCCTTTACGGTAAGAGCTGCATGAACAATAAATAATTATCAATAATTTTAATTACACTATAAAAAGTTGAATTTAATTTAGAGAAATAAAAATTTTCTTCTTTTTAATTTTATTTTATTTTACGAATATATTTTATTCATTAAACAATAACTTTTTTACATGAGTTTACTGTATTTTTAAATTATTCATTAATTTATTTCTCCCTCGTAAATTTTTTATTTATTACTTATTTTTATCATTGCCAATATTTCGAAACTGTTTTTAAAAAAAATAATATTATTTGTAGTTGATTTTATTATTATTATTATTACTAGCAAATGTTACGAGCGCCAGTGCGCGGAACGTGATATTCAATTTATTATTATGCAAATTACAAAATTTTTTATTTTTAAATATGAATTTATGAATAATTTCAAATTCAAACTTAAAAAAAAAAAAATTCAACTATTAACTAATTTACTAATTAATTATTCTCATTTAATAATTTCAAAAATTTTAATAAGATTCTTCGTAGGAATTCAATTAATTTCATAAATAATAATATTCTTCGCAAGAATTCAATTATTTTTAAACAAAATCTTAATAAACTTTTACGAACGAATACAATTATTTTCTAAAATTTTAATAAATCCTTCGAAACAATTTAATTATTTTTTTAAATAATAAAATCTTTTAAAAAATTCAATTATTTTCTAAAAAATTTCACAAAAGAATTCCATTTTTTTCTTAATTCGTTATAAAATATTTTAAAAGATTTCAATTATTTTCTAAAATTTTTATAAATTCTTCGAAAAAATTCAGTTACATTCATAAATAGTAAACTTCTTTGGAAAAATTCAATTATTTTCAAAAAAATTCCACGAAAAAATTTCAAATTTTTTCTAAAATTTTAATAAATTCTTCGAAATAATTCAATTAAATTTATAAATAATTATATAGTAAATTTTTTTGCAAAAATTCAATTATATTCAAAACAATTTCACAAAATAATTAAATTTTTGTCTTAATGCGTTATAAAAAATTTCAAAAGAATTCAATTATTTTCTAAAACTTTTATAAATTCTTCGATAAAATTGAATTATATTTATAAATAATAAAATTCTTTGCAAAAATTCAACAATTTTCAAAAAAATTCCATTTTTTTTTATTTTTAATAATATTTTTCAAAAAAATTCAATTATTTTCTTAACTTTTAATACAGTGAAACAATTAAAACAATTCAATTATATTTATAAACAATAATTTCGAAACTTTTAATACAGTGAAACAATTGAAACAGTTCAATTATATTTATAAACAATAAAATTCTTTGCAAAAATTCAATTATATTAAAAAAAATTTCACGAAAGAATTCAATTTTTTCCTTAATTCGTTATAAAATTTTTCAAAAGAATTCAATTATTTTCTAAAATTTTCATGAAATTCAATAATTAAATGTTTAATTTCTGATATTAAAAAGTACGATTATTTTAAAAACGTCATTATTTAAAAAAAAAATTCAAAGCAATTCAGCAAAAAGAATTTAATTAGAATTATTAAAAAATAAATTTTAAATTTAATTCTTATTTTTATATGAATTATTGTTATTGTTATTATTGTTGTATTATTTTAATTCCTTCTTGTTAATTGTTTAATGATTGTTTAATTGTTGAATTTAATTCTTTTTAAATTTAATTGTTTGATTTAATTAATTGTTAATTAATATTATTACCTAATTTCATTTACCTAATTTCATTTACTTAGACATTAATTGTTTTTATTCTTTTTTTTCGTTTTTTATAATTGTTCAAATACGAAACAATATATTAGTTTAAGTTTCAGTTTTCATAATTTTTAGAATAATTTTAAATTTTAACATTCGTTTCAAAATTCTAAGAATCCTTCAAAATATTTAGTTAAAAGTTTCAACACATATATTGAATATATAATTATAAAATATTGAGAAAAAAAATTTTTTTTTTGTTTGATTCAGTTATTAGAAAGTCAAACAGAAGTATATTAAAATTTACAATCAGAAACATTTTTGTTTCATTTGAACAGAGTTTGTTTGATTTTTATTATTTTTTTTTTTATAAAAGTTATGTGACCCAATAAAATTTATGTATATATATATATATATATATATATGTTTCTTTTATGACAGTAATTGTAATTTAAAATTGATTCAATAAATTAGATAATTTCTCATCAATTTAGAAAATATTTTTTTGTAAATTTTTGTTAAATTTATTAATTATTAAAATAATTTGACGAAGAATTTAGATGAATTTGATTTAATTTATTTATTACCTATTGAATATGAATTACGTTAAATTTAAAAATAAATTGGACATTAAGAATATTTGTTGGAGTATTGTAAAATAAAGTTTGTCAATATTTATTTTTCAGTTTAGAAATTCTCTTTTGGTAAAAAAAATAAAAATAATAAAAATAATAATAATAATGTTAATATTAATAATAATAGTAATAATATTAACAATTGACAAGAATAATAACAATAGTAATAATAATAATAATAATAATAAAAATAGTAACAATTGGAATAATTCGAAAATCTCAAAAATTGAAAATTGCAAAAAACTAAAATGGTAATAATTCAAAAAAATTGATGGGGGGGATTTGAAAAAATTTTTTTTTTCAAAAAATAGATTACCTTGAGTTGTGATACCTTGATTACTTTATTGTTTGTCATATGAGTCAGTCTCTATTTATGGCAGATGCTCAGTGAAAAAATAATTCTAACTAACATTATATTCGCTATATATGTATACTAAATATTTGCTATTATACATTTCATAAGTTTCTTGGGATTGTCGCTTTTAATTATTATCAGCATCCTTTTGTGTGAAGCAAAATTTATATCATTCACCTTTTAAAACGTTCCTTATTAATGTTCCATGTACAAAATACGCACACGTTCATTAAATCTCCATAATACAATAAAACACAATTTGTGAATTTTTAAATTAATTAATATTTCCATCAAATAATTTTTCATCAATATTTCTCGTCTAAATGCTTTTATAATTATGTCTTTAATTACGAAATATTTAAATACAAATAGAATAGATTCAATTATATTAATGTCTTAACAAGAGCCTATTGTATGCAACCTGTCTTGCATGCCTGCAAACTGATCGCGCAGTAAATTATTAATATTATTAATTATTACTTAGTAATTTACGATCATTATTTTATAATTAATTTTAAATTAAAAATTGAGAGTTAATTTATTACATAACTAAATATTGTTAATTAATTAATTAATTATTCATATCAATCGTTAGTTAATTAGATAGTTAAATATTAGTAGTCAATTCATTACACAACTAAATAGTAATAAATAATTAATTATATAATTAAATATTAATAATTAATTAATTACATAATTAAATATTAATAATTAATTAATTACACAACTGAATAGTAATAATTAATTAATTACGTAACTAGATATTAATTATAAAATTATAAATAATAATTATTAATAATAATTCAGATTGTTTTGCAAATATTTTATTCCCTATCAATCAATAAGTGCTTCAAAGAACTAAAATATTCATATGCTTAGCATCTATTTTTTGAATTTAAATGAAATTTTTTTTATACAGTCGATTTGAATTTATTTTTTCTAAAGGTGGATATTTTTTTCAAAAATTTCCAGTGGACTCGAAGTTGCAGTTGAATTTATTTGCAAATGGGGGTAAGGGTGGAGGGGATTTGGATCATTATCCATCTGTGAGTACACTGACGACTTCACATTTAGGAAATGCTCATTCACCCCTTGCACTTCCTTCCGCCGCTGTCTTAAATCGTCAAACAACCCTCACGTAAGTTAAAAATTTACAATAATAAAAAAAAAATTTTTTTAAAATAAAATTAAAAATAAAATTAAAAATAAAATTAAAAATAAAATTAAAAATAAAATAAAAAAATAATAAAATTGAAAAATTTTTAAATAAATATTTTAAAATTGATTAAATAATATTTAATAATAAAGAAATAAGGGGGTAAGGGGTAAAAGGGAATAATAGGGGGTAATATTGTCATTTTAATTTAAAAGTTGAATAAAATTAAAAAATAATAATTTTGATGCAAGATTTTAATAAGTTTTTTATTAAAAAAAATTAAAAATCTGATTTTTATTTAATAAAAAATATTTATTGAAAATTTTATTTTTTTAGCGTTCCACCTCTAGAGCCAATGTCTAGAACAAGTACCGACCTCACTTCGGTGATCACCTCAACAACTGCAGCTCTGCATACCGACAGGCCATAAAAAAATAAGAGGCAGCTAGAATTCTATTTTATCAATTAAATTCTTCTTTATCCGATTTCAAAACGTCTCTCGCGATTTCTTCTCTAATATTTAAAATATAGATCTCTTCGATTTATTGAATAATTTAATTATTGATCAATTAAATTATCGATTATATTAGGTATTTTTATTTTACTTAAATTAATATTAATTATTTAATTTCTAGTTATTATGTGTTTTATAATTATAATAGTTGAAATTTATTCGAAAAGAAATTTTTTTTTATGATACAATTGAAATTTATAAAAAAATATTTTAAAAAAATATTAAAAATATTTCGATTATTATGACATTTTATTTTTTTTTGTAAACCAAAAAAATTTATTGTATTTTTAGTCATTTTTTAAAATTTGTCTTCTTATTTTAAAAGGATTTTAATTACAAAAATTTTCTTTTAATTCTAAAAAAATTTAATTAAACATTTTTTTATGTTAAAAAAATTTAATTAAGAATTTTTTTTTAATTTAAAACAAAAAATATTAAATTGTAAACTTTTGTTCTACGAAAAATATTGAAGCATATGTAGGTAAATAGTTTTCATTGTAAATATGTATCTTTTATAAACAAATTTGTCTCCAAAGATTTTTAATATTAAGATATAAACTCCCAAAGAGTAAATATTATAAACAATTACCAGTGCATTGTTTGAAATTTTATTATATTAATGCAAATAGAAAAGTATAGTTTTTCTATATAAAATTAAAATTTATATATTATTATCTGGAGAAAATAATAGAAATTTTTAATTTTTACAGAATTTAATTTTTAATTAATAAAATTTTGTATAAAATGAAAATATTTACAATTTTGTGTATAAGATGTGATTATAAATATAAAATAATTATTTGTCAACAAAGTATGTATAATAAATAAAATGTACCGAATAGAAATTTCTATGTAAATAATATCAGTAAATGTATTAGTTAATATTTACAAAATACACTGCAATTGTTAATATATAATGTATTTTTTATTATAAACATTATGGCTGACCGAGAAAATAAATGTTAAAAAATATTTTATTTACTTTGATTTTTAATAGGAAAATGAAAATAAATTAATTAATAATTAGTAACAAAATATTTGTCAAAATAAAAAATATAATTTATTTAATTAATAAAAATTATTTGATTCAAGTAAATTGATAATAAAGTAAGATAATAGTCAAGTAATCGTTTATTTGAAACAAATTTTTCTTTAATGTAGAACTAGAAAAATGAAATTTTCTTCTCAGTGTAAAATTAATTTTCCGCAATAAAGCTTTTAGAGTAGAAAAGTTTTCTTAATCAAATTTAAAAAAAAAATTTATTTAAATACAAATTGTTTACTATTGCAATTCAATAATAATACTGCAAATTTACAGTGAGGTCATAGAACTCGAAAGTCTTATATCTCTCACGTTCTCTCTAAAATTAGACTTTTTAATTAACTTCGGTAATTTCTCTCTCTCCATAAATAAATACATATAATATACAAGTTTCTAAATTTTTTTCCCCACTTTTTTTTTATAATATGTATATAATTTCAGATATGTAACAAATTATTTCATTTTTACTTTTTTCAAATCATAAATCGAAAAATATCGTTTATTTATCAAAAATTTTCAATTTCTCTACTACGCATTGTGTAAATATTACATCACTGCAACTGCATTCAGAATAAAAGTAAAACAAATTTTGCATATTCATTTAACTCATTAACTTTCAACCCCTCTACCTTGACTGCGAATAACTAATCAAGTGTGAACGACAGTCTGGGCCTAATTGTCGAAGCGAATCACAGTGATAAGTGCAAAATTTTTGCGTAATTCCTTTAAGAAAAAAGAAAAAAAAATATTTCAAAATTACATTTCAAATTATTTAGAAATTAATTAACTTTTTTTTAAATTAAAAAAAAAAAATATTTGACAAAAAATATTTCCAAACCGTAAAAAAATATTTAAAAATATTTTCAATCTTTAAAATTATTCAAAAATATTTTTCTGACTCAAAAAATATTTTTAATCCATAAAAAAATATTTTTCTAACTTAAAAAATAGTTTCCTGCCTAAAAAAATATTTTCAATCCTTAAAAAGATAATTTTCTGACTTGAAAAATCAATTCAATCCTTAAAAAAAAATTAAAAAACATTTTTCTGACTTAAAAAATTAAAAAAAAATATTTTCATGACTTAAAAAATATTTAAACATATACTTTTTTCACTCTTCAAGGAAAAAAGAAGATTTTTTTTTTGTTGAAAGGGAAAAAATATTATTTACATAAATTTTTTTTCGTCTTCAAGTGCATTAAATTTTTTTAATTTTACACAAAATTTAAAGAATTCTCGAAATAGAGAGAAAAAAATTGAAGTTGATACATTGTCACGAAAATGGGGGATGAAATAGTGATTACGGGGATATCTGGAAAATTTCCAAACAGTGAGAATGTACAAATGTTGCAACATAATCTTTTAAATAAAATTGACTGTATCACCAATGAAAATCCACGCTGGGAATGCAGTACGTATTTTTTATTTTTCAAACACTTTTCAAATTAGCAGTTTTAAACTTTTTAAATTCAATTTTTTTTCATATTGAAACATTGACTTGAAAAATGAAAAAATAATAAATAGAAAAATATTGACTTATTTATGTTTATTTATTCATATTGAAATATTGACTTAAAAGAAGAAAAAAATGAAAGTATTTTCATTATCAAGTATCAAAATTATTATTATAATTATTATTATAATTAATATTTTCATTAACATTATATAGTTATTATTTTTATAAAACTCTAAAATTCTATTTTTTCTTTTTCTTTTTTTATTTTTCAATCTTAATTTTTTTACTTGAGAGAAAAATTATCAATAAATTTACTAAATTTTTTCTTTTTTAATTAAAATTATGCCCTGACATTTAATTTAATGCAAATTTTTCTAACTAATTTTTATTACAGTTCCTTTTACTCTTCTAAATATTTGCATATATTTGTATTTTCTCTTTATTCTCATATTTCCAATAATGAATTTGTTTTTATATTTGCAATAATTCATTTATTTTTATATTTACAATAATTAATATATTATTATATTTGCAATAATTAATAAATTCGTAATATATTCGTTAAACAATCATTAAACTGTAACATATCAAATTTAATAACACGAGAAAAAAAATGAAAAAATCTACTGGGAATCGAACCACTGCCAGCATTCTAGGGAAAAAGGATGCCTTACGCACCACGGCCACGCTCGCACATGAAAATTCACTTTCATATTTATGCAAATTCCACCTTGTTTTACATACAATTTATGAATTTTATCACTTCCTGTCAATAATTACCAGAGAAATATACTGAAAAAATAGTATTTTATTCAAATAACTGTTTACTTGGCTATTAAAAATAATTATTTATTCGAAACAAATAATTATTTATTCGATACAAATAATTATTTATTTTAATCAAATAATTATTTCTTCGAAACAAATAATTACTTCTTTGAATCAAATAATTGTTTATACGAAACAAATAATTATTAATTTTAAAAAAATTTTTCTTTGGAACAAATAAATATTTCTGTGAAACAAAATAATTACTTCTTTGAAGCAAATAATTATTTATACGAAACAAATAATTATTTATTTAAAAGAAATATATTTTTTTGAAACAAATAAGTTTTATGTAAATAAAATTAATTTTTTTCAGTATAAATAATATTCAAATTAATTTTAAGTATTTTTTTTTAAATGAAAAATCATTTTAAATTAATTCGTCGATAGATAATAATATTAATTATCTAAAAATCAATGTAGATAATCCTCATGTACCATCACGAACCGGAAAGATAAAGGAAATAACGAAATTCGATAGAATATTTTTTGGTGTTCATCCAAAAGTGAGTAATGCAATGATTCCCGAAATGCGAATGATAACTGAATGTACCTACGAGGCTGTGGCGGATGCTGGAATAAATCCACGACAAATGAGGGGAAGTAAAACATCCGTTTACACAGCCACAACATTCTCAGAATCGGAGAAAGCACTTTTTTACGAAAAATTCGAGGTATTTTTTTAATTACCTTAATTTACTTTCCTTAACTTAAATTAAATTTACTTTCCCTTTCTTTACTTTAATTTAGTTTCATTTACTTTAATTTACTTTCCCTTTCTTTACTTTAATTTAGTTTCATTTATTTTAATTTATTTTACTTTACTTTAATTACCTTTTCTTTAATTTACTTTTCATTAATTTAATTTACTTTAATTTCCTTTCCTTTACTTTAATTTACTTTCCATTACTTTAATTTACTTTAGTTCACTGTATTTTACTTTACTTTTCTTTCCTTCATTTTAATTTACTTTATTTTCCTTTTCTTCCCTTCATTTTAATTTACTTTATTTTCCTTTCCTTTAATTTACTTTCCGACCTTTATTTTAATTTACTTTTTTTAAATTTGATTTAGTTTACTTTATTTTCCTTTATTTAAATTTACTTTTCTTTAATTTGCTTTAGTTTACTTTACTTTTCTTTATTTTAATTTACTTTCCTCTAATCTACTTTCCATTAATTTAATTTACTTTAGTTTACTGTACTTTAATTTACTTTTCTTCCCTTCATTTTAATTTATTTCTCTTTCCTTTCCTTTAATTTACTTTCAATTACTTTAATTCACTTTCCATTCCTTTAATTTACTTTCCTTTTCTTTACTTCAATTTACTTTAATTTGCTTTAGTTTACTTTACTTTCCTTTAATTTACTTTCCATTAATTTAATTTACTTTAATTTTTTTTACCTTAATTTACTTTCCATTGCTTTAATTTACTTTATTTTTCTATCTTTTAATTTATTTTTCTCATTTCCTTTTCTTTATTTACTTTCCATTACTTTAATTTACTTTTCTTTAAGTTACTTTTCTTTCCTCTACTTTAATTTAATTTACCTTCTTTTAATTTATTTTAGTTTACTTTAATTTATTTTAATGTACTTTAATTTACCTAAATTTAATTTAATTTAATAACAGAAGAATAATATAATGATGACGATGTAATAAATTTTTTCGTGAAATCTATTAGACTACAAAAGCCTTGACGCAACTTGATAATTAAATTAAAAATTGTAATAAAATTTAAATTTCAGCAAAACAGTATTGTTGGCACAAGTCGATCGATGCTTGCAAATCGTATTTCTTTTTTCTTGGGTCTAGTGGGTCAGAGTATTAATATTGATGCCAGTTGCTGCGGAAGTTTAACTGCTTTGGAACAAGCTTACCTTGATATTAAAAATGGACGTTCTGATAGTGCAATTGTCGGTGGTGCAAGTCTATCCTTGCATCCATATCTATCTCTGCATATGTCACTTTTAGGTACGATTTCGTTTCTCAGATAAAAAAAAAAAAGAAAAACGAAAAAAAGAAAAGTAAAACAAAACCCTTCGTGAGGACACACCCTCCACTTGCGGGGACTTCATTCTATTGGCTAGTTTTTCAAGGTCAGACGTCAGCCAATCGTCGCCGCTTGACCTTGAGAAGGCGAGCCAATAGGAACGAGTCTTCTATTCAAAGGAAGCAATCAAACATTTTTTCTATTTTTTTCATCGAAAAAATAATCTTTCTATCTTATTTTTTTTTATAAAACAACTTTTCCATCTTCTTTCTTTCGTAAACAATCTTTTTCATTGTTTTTTCTTTCATAAACCATCTTTTCCATAATTTTTTCTTTCATTAATGGTTTATGAAAGAAAAAATAATGGAACATTTTTTCTTTCCTAATGTTTTATGAAAGAAAAAATTATGGAAACCATTTTTTTCCAAAAATTGACTAATTTCAGGTCTAATTTCGCCCGACGGAAAAACAAAAGCATTCGATAATGATGCGAATGGCTATGCACGTGGCGAGAGTATTGTTGCCGTTTTTCTACAAAGGGCCAAGGATGCAAATCGTATTTATGCCGAGGTTAAAAGTATATTATCATTACCGGGACCTACTGATGATAATTTACCGGCATTCTATCCGACGAGTGAATTTCAAGCGAGTGTTTTTCGAAAATCATTGAAAGATGCAAAATTAGAGGCAAAAGATATTAATTACATTGAAGCTGATGGCTTGGGAATAAAGGAAACAGATGCTCAGGAAATAAAGGCTATTGATCTTGTTTTTAATGAAGGTCGAATGTCACCACTTCTCGTTGGCTCTGTTAAAACAAATATTGGCTATTGCTCCAATTCCAATTCACTAAATGCGATTGTTAAGGTTAATTATTTACGTCAGCGAAAGCAAAAAAAGAAAAAAATTGTTTTTTTTTCTTTCTTTCTCTTTTTTATTTCAAATCGACGAAAAAACAATTTAAATATATGCACAATTTCCATTTTAACACATTATTTCATTGATGGAAAATTTTTATACGTCACATTTGAGGAAAATGACGAAAAGAATTATGTTTATACACCCACAAAAAAAAAAAGATATATTTGAATCAGAGTCAACTGGAATTTTTATTTGTTTTAAATAAATTTTATTTGTTTCAAATAAATTTTACTTGTATCAAATAAATTTTATTTGTATCAAATAAATTTTGTCTAATTCAAATAAATTTTATTTGTATATCAAATAAATTTTGTCTGATTCAATTAAAATTTATTTCTATCAAATAAATTGAATTTAGTTTAAATAACCTTTTATTTGGTTCAATTAAAAGTTTTATTTATGTCGAAAAAAATTTTTATTTGAAACAAATAAATAATCTAGTTGACTCAGAAACAAATAAACTTTTATTTAATTCGAAAAAATTATATTTGGTTTAAATAAAGATTTTCTTTGGGTGTAGCAAAAATTTTTTTGTCAATAAAAGAAATGTTTACAGCAAACATTTTTTGGGAATAAAAAATATGTTTATAGTAAACATTCTATTTGGAAATAAGAAAATTTTCATTCTTTCTTAGAAGGAAAAAAATTATTACAGTAAAAATTCTCGTTTAGAATAAAAAAAATATTGATGGCAAACATTCTTTTTTTTTAAACAAAAAAAATATATAAAGCAGGAAAAAAATTCTTCACCTGGAACAGCGATAAGTTTCTCTAGAATAGCGAAAGTATAATAATTGAAACAAATATAAATTTCGCTAATGTAGAAAAATTTGCAGCTGTTTCAGGTAAAAAAAAATTATTTTTTTAAAGTAGAAAATAAATAAAAGAAAGAAAAGGATTTTGAAAAAAAGTTTTTCTCGTGGTAAAAATTAAAAATTGATCCTAAAAGTGAGAAAATTCATAAAATCGGTTTTTTTTATTAGATTATCACTGCAATGGACAGAGGAATGATTCCACCAAATTTGCACTACAAGACACCATCAAATATGATTCCGGCTATTAAAGAGGGACGAATTAAAGTGCCAACGAACTGTATTCCATGGGAGGGAAAATATGCGGCAGTTAATTCAATATCAATAACGGGACTTGCTGCAAATGTTATTCTAAAATCTTTTAAAAAAGACAAAAAAAATCAAGGCGCACCTGATGATAATTTAATTCGACTGATTATTGCATCAGGAAGTACGGAGGAATCCGTGGCTTACGTTTTGGACCAAGTTAGTTACTTTATATTATTTACAAAAAAAAAAGAAAAAAAAAGAAAAAGAAATTAACACTATTCTCTTGAAACAAAAATATATTTTCAAAATAAATTCTAAACGAAAATATTTCTCTTTAAATAAATGCTAAACAAAAATAATTTTTCAAAAATAAATACTAAACAAAAAATATTTTTTTCTTTGGGTCTTTTTGGATTTTTTAAAAATATGGTTTAAAAAAAATTTTAAATACTAAACAAAAAATATTTTTCTCTTTGGGTCTTTTTGGATTTTTTAAAAATATGGTTTAAAAAAAATTTTAAATACTAAACAAAAAATATTTTTTTCTTTGGATCTTTTTGGATTTTTTTAAAAATATAGTTTCAAAAAAATGTTATTTTCTCTATTGTCTCTTTATTGTAGTTAGAAAGCAAACCTGTGGACGTTGAAATGGTTCAACTTCTTTATAATGTTTTTGAAACGGAAAATACTGGGCATTTATATAAGGGATATACATTATTACCACCACGAGGTTTACCGAAAATACGACAGAGACAAATTGAATATAATTCTGGTTCGAAAAAACAAATTTGGTTCGTCTATTCTGGAATGGGTTCGCAGTGGGTTGGAATGGGTGAGTTTATCTTGTTTTTCTAGTATTTTTGTTCTCATCTACCAAATTAATTTAATGAAAATTTTGTAAAAAAAAATATTTTTTGCAGAAAGTGCTTTTTGTAGAAAATACATTTTTGTAAAGAATATTTTTTGTAGAAAATATAATTTGTAAAAATCATTTTTTATTGAAAATATAATTTGTAAGAACTATTTTTTTCAGACAATATTCGTTGTAAAATATATTTTTTCCAGCAAATATTCTTGGTAACAAATTGTAGAAAATAATTTTTTATAGAAAATATTTTTTCTGAATAATATTTATTGTGGGAAATTTAATTTTTAAAAAATTGTTTTTTTTTTAATATTTCTTGTAAAATATATTCTTTTCCAGCAAATATTCTTGGTAAAAAAATGTTGATTGCAGAAAATATTATTTCTAAAAAAATTTTTTTTCCAAATACAATAATCATTTTGCATTTAAATTGAAAATCACTCACCACATTTTCACTATTTTGACTGCACAGTTTCAAAAAATATTTTCTTTCTTCAATGACACTGAAACAAAGAAATAATTCATTTTTAATAATGTAAATATTAAAATTGTTTAATTTATTTTATAATTAATATAAAAAGAAAATTGTCCAACATGTTTTTTAAGTGGTACAACTCAAGTATTCGTCAGACATATTCTCGAGGAATAAAAAATCAAATTTATAAAAATTTTCATTTTCATTTTCATTTTGATAAATCTTATAATAGGTAAATAAATGTAAGTCAAGGATGGACTTTCTAATTTGATTTCTAGCTTTCATTAAGTCAGTTTTGTTTTGCCTTTTCTTTGTTAGAAAATTACCAAGTTTGCATACAATGCTAAGTATATTCGTTGAAATATGCTCATGAATTTTTTGTATCAAATTAATAAAGTCATGGCTCAATTTGTTTATTGCAATAAATGAAGGTACTACTATACTATATTTGCCACATCTCGAATTTAAATATTAGACCAATATTAATAAATCCAATCATTAAAAAAAAAAAATTTTTTTTTTATATAATAATAACAACAATAATAAAAATAATAAAAATAATAAAAAATAATAATAATAATAATAATAATAATAATAATAATAAATAAAAATAATAAAAATAATAAAAATTCAACTGAAATTAACTAAATTGTTAATTTACTCAATATAAATTAGAAATTAATACTTTTTACATTAATACTAATAATTGTAGGATTCATATTATTAATATTAATATTAAATTAACTAAGACGACCGAGAAGAAAAAAATGTAATTAAATTATTATTATTATTTAACTAACTATTATGATGATTATTATTAACATGGAAAATTATGATTTGAAACTACAAGAGAATACAATAGAAATACCATTGATATTTATACCCAGTCTGTTTATTTCTCGTTTATGAGAGAGTTTTGTCGCCACCTAACGAACAGTTAGACACTATTTTGGCGCGAAATTCAAATTTAATAAATCAAAAAAGCGAATTAAAATAAAATAAATCTTAGCCTAATATTTATATATTCGATACAAAAAACTAATTTTCTTAATTAAACATCTTTGAAATCAATTTATTCTTACGAATTATAAATAAAAGTATGAAAAAAATACAAAAAAAGTAAAAACTTTTGTTTCCTTTTTTGTTCATAATTAATTTTTTTACTTCATTGTAGGGGAAGCCCTCTTAAAAATACCTGTCTTTGAGGCTGCAATTCGAAAATGTGACGCCGCTTTAAAACCACGTGGTATTGACATTTTTCGTATACTGACCGAGAAGGATCCAAAAATGTTCGACTACATTGTAAATGCCTTTGTTGGCATTACAGCAGTTCAAGTAATTATTCACAAAGATTCTTAAAAAACCATCTTTAATTTTTTTTTCACATCTTTCTTTAAAAACCTTTTTAGCTTTGCCTAATAGTTTTTCTCTTCTTTTTATTTTCCTCATATTATAGAGAAAGGATTGTATTTTTGAATCTCTACATCTATATTCAAAAACATTTAGCAAAGAAAAAAATTTGGGATCAAAAATTATTCCTGTATGAGATAATAATACTAATACTGTTAAAAAAATGTTCGTGTAAATTACAGATTGGATTAACTGATGTTCTACATTCGATTGGAATAAAACCAGACTACATAATTGGTCATTCTTTGGGAGAATTAGGTTGTGGTTACGCTGACGGATGCATTACAGCAGAACAAATGGTACTTTGTGCTCTTGGTAGAGGTTTAGCATCCGTTGAATCGGATTTAATAAGAGGATCAATGGCAGCCGTTGGTTTGTGCTACGAAGAAATTCAACCTCTCTGTCCTCCCGATATCGACGTTGCTTGTCACAATAGTGCCGAGAGTTCGACAATCAGTGGTCCAGCTGAATCAATGAAGACATTCATCGCTGACTTAACAGTAAATCCTTTTAATTTTTTACCTACATTACAATATCATTACAATTTTTTTTTATTTAATACTTCATGGACAAATTTTTGGTGCATCAGACGTTGTTGACATCAGACCAGTTGCTCCAATAATTTAATGCAGCAGATGTACCGATTTTTGGTCAGCAAATGCTGTTCCAAAATAAATGGGTACAGTTGGGTTTAAATGAGTACAAATGGATACATTTGGGCATAAATGGGTACATTTGGGTTTAAATGGGTATATTTGGGTATAAATAGGTACATTTGGGTATATTTTCCACTGTTGGTGCACTAGAGGTCCAAGATTCGTCACCTCGGTTGTACAAAGTCAACCAAAACAAATTACAAATAAATTACAAGCGCTTTACTAACGTAAAGCGCTTGTAATTTATTTGTAATTTGATTTCGTTGGTTTCCACGTACAAAAATTTCTCCACTACAGTGTACTATCATCAATTTTCTCTTCTTTAACAGGCAAAAGGAATTTTCGCTCGAGAAGTGGCCTGCGGCAATATTGCCTATCACAGTCGTTACATGGCACCTGTTCGTGATTTAGTATTGAAATATTTCAATCGCGAAATACCAAATCCAAAAGCACGAAGTGACAAATGGCTGAGTACATCGATACCAAGAAGTGAATGGGGTTCACCAAAAGCACGACTCTGCTCTGGATTCTATCACATGAATAATCAATTGAGTCCCGTTTATTTTGCCGAGACGGCGAAAATGATTCCCAATAATGCAATTGCCATTGAAATTGCACCACATGGATTAATGCAGGCCATCCTGAGGAAATCGTTATCAAGTGAAGTAGTCAACATACCATTGACAAAGAGAGGTCATCCTGATAATGTGGAAATTCTCATGGCCGGTTTGGGAAAATTGTACTCATCTGGTCTCAACATTAAAATTTCGAATCTCTATCCAAAAATCGAATATCCCGTGTCTAGTGGCACACCGTCCATATCGTCGTTGATTAAATGGGACCACACCAATGATTGGTGAGCAATGACGAAAAATTGAAAATCCTTTTTGTAACAAAAAATTAAATGCAATCTGCTTTCAGGTTTACTGATTTCTATGAAGAACCACAAGAAATAAAAGAAGGAGAGATGAAATTCTCGATTCAGTTGGAGAAAGACGATTGGGAATTTTTGAAAGGGCATAAAATTGATAATAAAATTGTCATACCATCTTCGTTGTATTTGAAACTTGTTTGGAATGTTCTACGGGAAATCAGTGAGGAAAGGGATTTGATTGTCTTTGAAAATGTACAAATTTTCAAGCATCAATTAATTATTCCCCAGAGCGAAGAAGTGAATCTAGTGGTGATGGTACAAAAAGGTAACAAAACCTCTTTCTTTTCTTTTCCACTTCGTGATTTTCAGAGCTTCGAATTCTGAACCAATCCGTTACATAAATAAATAAATTTTTCAGGAACTGGTAATTTCGAAATTACCAACAACGATCTGTTGTTGTGCTCGGGTAATGTTTGTGACGCCGATAAAAATGCGGAAGTTTTCACAAATAAACGAAATAAAAATAGCATTTCTGATCTACTCCATAAAAATGATGTTTACGATGAATTACAAATGCGTGGCTATCAATATTCCAATTTGTTTCAAAGCATTATTAATTCAACGACAAATGCAACATACGGCAACCTAATGTGGAAACATAATTGGACAACATTTGTCGATGGAATATTTCAATTGTTCTGTCTTGGTAATGATGCTCGGAAAATACAATTGCCGGTGAAAATTGGAAAAATTACGATCGATCGTAAATATCAGGAGAATCTAAAAACAACAGAAGGTGAGTTTATTCCGAAAAGTTGTGAAGAATCATTGTAACTTTGACGCTTTGGATGCTTCGGACAAATTCGGGTCCTCTCGTGTCGCGTCGTTACCGAATCCTAAACGAGGTTGCACGATCGAACCCCAACCGAATATTCTCCACCATTTGCTAATCTTCTTCTCTTTCCACTTCGTTTTTTCTTTTCTTTTCCGATTTTTTCTAATATTCTCTTTTTGTTAATAGGAATTCCGGTACAAATTAATCGACAGCTGAATGTGACGATTGCCGGAGGAATCGAAATAAAAGGAATCGTCATGACGCCAATTCTCTCCGATCCAACACAGGGTGAAGTGATTGTCGAAGAAATACAAAAAATCAAAACAACCTGGAACTATTCAAAGCTAAAGAGACAATCGCGCCTCACACAACACTGGAAAGCAAATCAACTCGTAACATCCGATCCAAATTCAATAAATTGGGTCGATGGTTGCCTGGTCAACGATCTTTCAATAGAAAAAATCGCCAAAGTCGAATACTCCTCGATAGAAACATCAGACATTTTGCAAGTCTTGGGAAAATTAGTCACCATCGATCTTGGTTTGAATCGACTCGAACCAAAGACATTTGGTCTCGAATATTCAGGAATCGATTCCAAAGGACGACAAATAATGGGTCTATCATCAAACGGAACACTCTCCAATTTTATCTCAATCGATTCAATATTCACTTGGGAAATACCAAAAAATTGGAGCCTAAAAGAAGCCGTAACCGTTCCCCTAGCCTACACCGTCGCCTACAATGCACTATTTCTCAAAGGCGGAATAAAAAAACAAGAAACAATACTAATTTACAATGGTACAACTGGTTTTGGTCAAGCGGCAATAAATCTAGCCAAAAACGAACAATCCGATATATTCGTCGTCTATAAAACACAAGACGAAAAGAAATTACTGCAAAAATTATTTCCCTTTATATCAATGAATAATTTGTGTCATTCTTCGGATACGTTTACAGATCAAGTGCTAATGAGAACCAAGGGCAAGGGAATTGATCTTATCATCTACAATGGAAATGATCTGAATATCATTAAAAAATGTCTAGTTTGTACAAAAATGAATGCTAGAGTTGTTATCATTGGCGAGTTAGAAGAGGCTTTTGGAAAATCTGTAGGAATGGAAATATTTTTGAGGGAAATAAGTCTCTATTCGGTGATACCGAGAAAAGTTTTGATAGAAACGGATTTGATGACAAAACAAACATTGGCTAGAATGGTTGCTGATGGTTTACAATCAGGTGTTGTTAAAGTACTCTACGCCAATTATTACGAGAGGGAAAATTTACAGAAAGCATTTTTAGATGGTATTGACGATAAATTGAACGGCAAAGTAAGTTTTATTTTTGAAATATTCTTTTTATCCCCGGGACACTACTTTAAATTCGCTAATACTAGAAATCAAAAAACTATTCTCAAAAATTATAATCAAATTCTTTAAAACTATTCAATTATTTAAAAAAAATTGATAACATTCATACAAATTTTAATTATTTTCATAAATAATAACATTTTTCAAAATTAATTAATTTTGAATAGCAATTTCAAACAAATTTCGAAAAAATCAATTATTTAACGAAATTTCTATAAATTTTTCTCAATAATTCAATTACTTTCACTAATAATAACATTTTTCATGGAAAATCAATTATTTAAAATTTATTGATAAAATTTTTAAGCAAGAATTCAATCATCTTTATATATAATTAAACTCATCGAAGAATTTCAATTATATTGAATAATATTTTAAATTCATTAATCGAAAAATTCAATTATTTTCACAACTAAAAGTTTTCGAGAAGAATTTAATTATTTAAAATAAGATTTTCATAATATTTCGAAAAAAAATAATTATTTAAAACAAAGTTTATAAAATTTTTATAAAGAATTCAATTATTTTCAAAAATAACAAAATTTAATAATAAAATTCTTCTCAGGAATTCAATTATTTTTGAAAATTTTAAGAAAATTCTTAGCAACTATTCAATTATTGTCATAAATAATGAAATTCATCGCAGGTTTTCAATTATTTTTAATACAATTTTACAGGAATTAATAAAAAAATGTAATTACTTTTGAAATTTAATTTCAATTCCTAGAAAAAATCAATTATTTAAAAAAAATTTTTTTTTTAAAATTCTTTAGAAGAATTCAATTATTTAAAAAAATATTAGAATTTTTCACAGGAATTCAATTATTTTCAAATATTTTAATAAAATTGTTCGAAAGAAATCAATTGTTTTAAATTCAATTTTATCTAAATTTTTAAGGTCCTTGAAAAAATACCGAAATCTAAATATTTTGAAATAATTCAATTATTCTTTTAGATTTTAATAAAATTTTTCCCAAGAATTCAATTATTTAGATAAATAATTCTTCAAAAGAATTCAATTATGTCGATAAATAACAAAATCATTCCCAAAAATTCAATTATTTTGAGCCATTTTAATAAAATTCTTTGCAAAATTCAATTATTTTCAAAAATAACAAAATTTTTTTACAGAAGTTGAATTTTTTTTTAACAATTTAATAAAATGTTTCGCAATAATTTAATTATTTTCATAAATTAGAAAATTCTTCTCAGGAATTCAATTATTTTTGAAAATTTTAACTAAATTCTTTGCAACTATTCAATTATTTTTATAAATAATAAAATTCATCGTAGGATTTCAATTATTTTTAATATAATTTTACAGGAATTGCTCAAAAAATTAAAAATTTAATTTCAATTCCTCGAAAAAATCAATTAATTAAAAGAATGATTTTTTAAAATTCTTTGGAAAAATATTAGAAAAATATTAGAATTTCTCACATGAATTCAATTATTTTCAAATATTTTAATAAAATTATTCGAAAAAATTCAATTATATCGATAAATAACAAAATTATTCCCGAAAATTCAATTATTTTGAAGCATTTTTATAAAATTCTTTGCAAAATTCAATTATTTTCATAAATAACAATATTCATCACAAGAATTCAATTATTTGTAAAAGTATTAAATTTCTTCTTGGAAATTCAATTTCTTAAAAAAATTCAAATAAAATCGTTCGCAAGAATTCAATTATTTTCACAAATAACAAAATGCTTTTTAGGAATTCAATTATTTTTAAAAAAAATTTAATAAAATGCCACACGGACATTCAATTATTCTCAAAAATTTTTAATAGAATTCTTTGTAAAATTTAATTATTTTTAAAAGCTTTTCGCAGTTCAATGATTTTTAATATCTCCTATTTTTATAAAATTCCCAAAAAGAATTCAAATATTTAAAAAAAATTTTGTTAAAATCTTCATATGAGAATTCAATTCTTTTTATAAATAATAAAAAATTTTCAGGAATTCGATAATTTAAATTACAATTTGCATAAAATTAGTCGAAAGAAATCAATTATTTAAAAATTTTTATAAAATTCTTCCCAAGAATCACATTATTTTTATAAGTATTTAAATTCTTTCATGAATAATAAAAATCGTTGCAGGAATTCAATTTATTAGCAGGATAAGATAGAAGTAAATATTTTTGCTGAAAATTAGGAAAAAGTCAGGAAAATAAAATAAATTTTTGTCAATTTTGTGAAGTGTCTAAGACAAGTTTTTTTTGGTGGTCAAGTTTAATTTTTCGATAGCTATTTTTTTACTACTTTTTTTAGTTTAAATATACTTTTCTTAAAATTAATTATCGAGTGCAAAGTTTGTGATTATAATCGTTGTAAACTTCACCAACCTCCAAAAATAATTCAAAGAACAACAAAATATTTCTTTAATAATAATATAATCCTTTAATAATTTCACAGATTATAGTAAAAGTCCAACCGCAAGATTCGAACAGAGCACCAGCAATTTCCCAATATTCCTGTTCAAAGAAAGGATCAATATTAATAATCGAGGGTCTAAATAATTTTGGCCTCGAATTAATCGACTTTCTCATTGTACGTGGCGCGAGGAATATAATTATCGCAACAAATTCCAAAAACTCGAGACAATTTTCCAATTATCGTATGAATATTTGGCGTAAATATGGTGTGACAGTGGTATTACGTGATAATTGTGATTTCACGAAAAAGGAACAAGTAAAATTGTTATTAAATGAAACGTCAAAATTGGGTGAAATCGAAGTTGTCTTTGATCTACAGCGAATGAATGTAAAACAGAGAAATACAAATGTTAATAATTTATTCACCAGGAATATTGACGAGGAATTAAAAAAATATTCAAATGGACAAAAACTGATTATATGTTCAACAGCAACCGAATTAAAGGAGAATTTCAATCAACTATTAGAAAGGGAAACGGAAATTGTCAAATTATGTGAGAAATCATCGAAAGTGCAAAAAACATATTTTATTGTTTTTGGTTCAATTGAGGGGAATTCGGTGACGAATTTGGAGGAACAAGAATTATTGACAATTCCCAGAGCTATTGAGGAAATTGATAGAATAATTGGAGCAAATGTTTCGATTGTTGGTGTAACGTATAAAACAATAATTCACGAAAGTCAAGGGGTAATTCGAAATTTAATGTTATTATTAATTTTAGTCAAAATTTAAAAACAAAAATGCAATTAAACTAATTTTTGGTAAATAAATTTGAGTTGTTGTTATAAAAATAATTTTTCTTAAACTAATTTTTGTAACAAAAACAACAAAAAATGCAGTTAAAATATTTTTACTGCATTTCAACTTTATTTTTGTTGTTGTTACAAAAATAACTTTTTTTTAACTAATTTATAAATAAATGTGATTAAAATATTTTAACTGCACTTTTTTGTTGTTGTTTCAAAAATAATTTTTCTTATACTAAATTTAAAATAAATTTTTGGGTAAAAATTAATTTAAGAAAAATTTGTAGAAAAGAGGAAGAAAGAAAAATTATTCAAAAATGAATTTGAGGAACATTATTCTAAAATTAATTTAATAAACATTTTTCTAAAATTAATTTAAGAAACATTATTCTAAAATTAATTTAAGAAACATTTATCTAAAATTAATTTAAGGAACATTATTTTAAAATTAATTCAAGAAAATTATTAAAAAAAAACAATTTTAGAAAAAATTGTTAAAATATATTATTTACTATTTTTAGTAAACACTAGTTTCAGTAAATTATTTTTATCTACAGGACACTAATGCTGTAACAGAAGAAGAAGAGGATGAGGAAACATTATTTAAGGCCTATTTATATAAAGTTGATCCAATGACAAAGAGTAAATTTAAATCACTTAATATCTCTTGAAAATATTTTCAAAAAGAAAAAGAAAAAATTAAGAAAACTGTTTTCTGGATTATTTGAAAAAAATTGTTCGTAATTTATAGTCGAAGTAAAAGAATTATTCTAAAAATGAGAATAAAATATAATTTAGAAAATTTATTACCAATTAAATTGAATTAAATCAAATTAAATGAAATTAAAATAAAACAATAATAATTTTAATAAATTAAATTATTATTAGAAAAATATTTTTTTAATATTAATATTTTTTTAATTAAAAAAATATTTTTTCCATCAGTCTACATACTTAATTTATTCTTTTCTTAACTCTAGACGTAAAAATCAATATTACAGTGAATATCATAAACATATTATTTATTAATAAAAAAAATTGTAATCTACACAAAAAAGACATTTATTTTTAAATTCATGTATATCAAACATTCATAATTCTTCCTTCCAACCAAAAAATACAAAAAGTCATTAAAGGTGCGCAAGAAAAACAAATGTAAACAAAAAACAATCTTACAAAATAAATTGGTTTTTATTAACAATGTAGTAAAATTTTATTTACTTAAATTTATATAATTATTTATTTACAATAAAAGAACAAAACATTTTAATTTGCTTTTTTATAATTTCACATTTATTATTTATTTACTAATTAACTAAGTGTTATTTATTCATTTATCAGATAACTTTTTGCTTACATTATCTAACTTATTTCTAAAAAAAAATTTTAAAAATTTAAAAAAATATGAGTCAGTATTTAAAAAAAATTTTTTTTAAACTTTTCTTCTTGCTTTAAAAATTATTGTATTGTTTTTAAAAAATACCCTCTACTTAAAAAATAAAAGTAAATTATAATTTACGATATTCTAAAGGGTAAGAATCTTTTTTTCAATTTTATTCTAAAGTTCTGTTCTTTAAACAAAAAAAAATAATAATAAATTACGTAATGAATACAATGTATCACTTTCCTAAATCTAAAATTAAAATATCGAATAACAGTTTCCGGGTTAAGTTTTATGAACTTTCTTTTGCATACCATATATATTGAAAAATACATATTCAAAAGATGAGAAAATTTAAAAAAACAACAATTCATAAAATATAATATATAATATTTTCCCTACTTTATATTCATTCTACTATCAACTTCTTTAAGATAACGTAAAAATTAAATTGAAAATAAAAATTTTGAATTTCAATAAACAAAAATAAAACTTATAAAATTTTACTTTATTTCTATTAAAATTGAAATTATTTATTAATTATTCATTATTAATTATTATTATTAAAATTAAAATTATCTATTTAAAAAATTCTACGAAAAATATCTAAATAAAAAAAGTAAATAATAGGAAAAATTATAAATAAACTAAAATTTAAAAATTAAAATTACATTAAAAATCAATCAAGACACTTTCTCATGAATATTTAATCAACTTATTTTCAACTCCCCTCTCCCCCTCTATAACAAATTGTAATAAAAATATAAATATTGAAATAAACTATACTTCATCAACCCCCTTTCACGTCTCAGATGATAATTATATAAAATCTACTTAATGGAATTAAAGACATTTACAAAAATTGCGCGTATTCGTTCACTTTAAAATCCAAACAAAAAAAGAGTGCGGAATTAAAAAAAATAGTTTTACAAGTTTTTTAAAATTCCAATAAAAAAATAATAATTATTTTTTCTGGTAAAAATAATAATAGTAATAATGGAATCCTCATCAATGTCTGGTGACGAAATAGATATCACAGGAATAGGTGAAAGATTTCCAAATAATAAAAATGTTAATGATTTTCAACAAAAAATTTTTAATAAAGAGTAGAGCTGTGCAAAATTCGAACCGAACCGAGTTTTGTTCGGTTTTGGGGCGCCCAAATGTCGAATGTCGAATATTCGACATCCGAACTAGGCTAACTCGAATGTCGAATTTTCGACATTCGAACTAGGCGAAAAAATTTGAACAGTTCGGTTCAAATTATTTTGCACAGCTCTAATAAAGAGGATTTTTTGACACAATTTAATCCCAAGAGAAAAACGGGTGAGAATTTTTATATAGAAAATGAAAAAATTTTATTTAATTTTAAAAATTTTATATCAGATAAATTTTATGCCCAAAATTTTTGAACTTCATTAAAAACTGTGCGAGAGCATACATCCTTTAACAAGATTAACAATGGAATGTGCTTACGAGGCAATTGCTGTGTCAGGAATAAATCCTCGATTAATGACAGGAAGGAGAATAGCAGTTTTTACAGGATCTTGTTTTATGGAAACAGAAATTGATTCTCAAGATAAAGTATAATTTTTTCTCTCGTGAATTTCATAACATTTATATTTTTTTATCAATAATTTAAAAGGAAAATTATTTTCCTCAACAAATTTTTCTCAATTATATTCTAAACAAATTTCTTTAAACTTCTAAGTTATCAAACACTTTCCAAAAAACCACAAAAAATTCAGATTCTTTACTTTGAAAATTTCAAACTACGAAATATTTTTTAATTTTAAATAAAATCTATTTTTCTGCTTTTCTCCTTATATTTTAGACAAAAACAAACAACTTTTCCTTTAGACACATTTCTGTAAAACAAAATATAAAAAAGTTATCAGCCTTTTTCCAAAAAACCACAAAAAATTTAGATTTTTTTACTTTCAAAATTTCAAACTTTGGAATCTTTTTCAATTTTTATTAAAAGCTATTTTTCTGCTTTTCTCTTTATTTTTTGTACTAAAACAAACAACTTTTCCTTTAGACACTATTTTGTAAAACAAAATTTAAAAAAGTTATCAGCCTTTTTCCAAAAAACCACAAAAAATTCAGATTTTATTACTTTGAAAAATTCAAACATTGAAATCTTTTTTAATTTTTATTAAAATCTATATTTCTGCTTTTCTCCTTATATTTTGCACTAAAACAAACAACTTTCCCTCTAGACACATTTCTGTAAAACAAAATTTAAAAAAGTTATCAGCCTTTTTCCAAAAAACCACAAAAACTTCAGATTTTATTAATTTGAAAATTTCAAACTTTGGAATCTTTTTTAATTTTTATTAAAATCTTTTTTTCTGCTTTTGTCCTCATATTTGAAACAAAAACAAACAACTTTTCCTTTAGACACTATTTTGTAAAACAAAATTCAAAAAAGTTATCAGCCTTTTTCCAAAAAACCACAAAAAATTTAGATTTTTTTACTTAAAAAATTTCAAACTACGAAATATTTTTTAATTTTAAATAAAATCTATTTTTCTGCTTTTCTCCTTATATTTTAGACAAAAACAAACAACTTTTCCTTTAGACACTATTTTGTAAAACAAAATTCAAAAAAGTTATCAGCCTTTTTCCAAAAAACCACAAAAAATTTTGATTTTTTTACTTTGAAAATTTCAAACTTTGGAATCTTTTTCAATTTTTATTAAAAGCTATTTTTCTGCTTTTCTCTTTATTTTTTGCACTAAAACAAACAACTTTTCCTTTAGACACTATTTTGTAAAACAAAATTTAAAAAAGTTATCAGCCTTTTTCCAAAAAACCACAAAAAATTCAGATTTTATTACTTTGAAAAATTCAACCATTGGAATCTTTTTTAATTTTTATTAAAATCTATATTTCTGCTTTTCTCCTTATATTTTGCACTAAAACAAACAACTTTCCCTCTAGACACATTTCTGTAAAACAAAATTTAAAAAAGTTATCAGCCTTTTTCCAAAAAACCACAAAAAATTCAGATTTTATTAATTTGAAAATTTCAAACTTTGGAATCTTTTTTAATTTTTATTAAAATCTATTTTTCTGCTTTTGTCCTCATATTTTAAACAAAAACAAACAACTTTTCCTTTAGACACTATTTTGTAAAACAAAATTCAAAAAAGTTATCAGCCTTTTTCCAAAAAACCACAAAAAATTCAGATTTTATTACTTGAAAATTTCAAACTTTGGAATCTTTTTTAATTTTTATTAAAATCTATTTTTCTGCTTTTGTCCTCATATTTTAAACAAAAACAAACAACTTTTCCTTTAGACACTATTTTGTAAAACAAAATTCAAAAAAGTTATCAGCCTTTTTCCAAAAAACCACAAAAAATTCAGATTTTATTAGTTTGAAAATTTCAAACTTTGGAATCTTTTTTAATTTTTATTAAAATCTATTTTTCTGCTTTTTTCCTTATATTTTGGACAAAAACAAACAACTTTTCGTTTAGTCACTATTTTGTAAAACAAAATTCAAAAAAGTTATCAGCCTTTTTCCAAAAAACCACAAAAAATTTAGATTTTTTTACTTTGGAAATTTCAAACTTTGGAATCTTTTTTAATTTTTATTAAAATCTATTTCACTGATTTTCTCCTTATATTTTGCACGAAAACAAACAACTTTTCCTTTAGACACTATTTTGTAAAAAAAAATTCAAAAAAGTTATCAGCCTTTTTCCAAAAAACCACAAAAAAATTCAGATTTTATTACTTTGAAAATTTCAAACATTGGAATCTTTTTTAATTTTTATTAAAATCTATATTTCTGCTTTTCACCTTATATTTTGCACTAAAACAAACAACTTTCCCTGTAGACACATTTCTGTAAAACAAAATTTAAAAAAGTTATCAGCCTTTTTCCAAAAAACCACAAAAAATTTAGATTTTTTTACTTAAAAAATTTCAAACTACGAAATATTTTTTAATTTTAAATAAAATCTATTTTTCTGCTTTTCTCCTTATATTTTAGACAAAAACAAACAACTTTTCCTTTAGACACTATTTTGTAAAACAAAATTCAAAAAAGTTATCAGCCTTTTTCCAAAAAACCACAAAAAATTTTGATTTTTTTACTTTGAAAATTTCAAACTTGGAATCTTTTTCAATTTTTATTAAAAGCTATTTTTCTGCTTTTCTCTTTATTTTTTGCACTAAAACAAACAACTTTTCCTTTAGACACTATTTTGTAAAACAAAATTTAAAAAAGTTATCAGCCTTTTTCCAAAAAACCACAAAAAATTCAGATTTTATTACTTTGAAAAATTCAAC